GCGAGGGGGCACGGCGACGCCGATAAAACGAGGATTAGGAGCGATGAGTGGGCCAGATACGGGAAAGCGGGTAGTGGGAAGGGAGCGGGCGGGACAAGGAGCGGGAGTTCACGCACCGGCAGCGTCGCTACGCTCTGAGAGGAACAGCTTGCACTGTCCACCCGTTACCGGAGCTGGGACTCGAGGGGCGCTAGTCCCCTACACCGACTGAGGCCGGTGCCCCTGCGGGGAGGCGGTACGATCCGTGGTGCGCCGAGGGGGATCAGGCGGTACGGTCCGTGGTGCACAGAGGTGTGTCAGGCGATACGGTCCGTGGTGCACCGAGGGGGGTCAGGCGGTACGGTCCGTAGTGCACCGAGGGGGGTCAGGCGGTACGGTCCGTAGTACACCCATGGGGATCAGGCGGTACGGTCCGTGGTGCACCGAGGGGGATCAGACGGTACGGTCCGTGGTGCACCGAGGTGTGTCAGGCGGTACGGTCCGTGGTGCACCGAGGTGTGTCAGGCGGTCCACCCCCTGCGGACACAATGCGCCAAGCTGCAACTGACACCAATCTAGCGGGACGGAGAGGCCGCTGGCTCAATACACAGATGCGGATGAAATGCCGGCACTGAACAATTTTACGTCCATTCGATACAATGATTTGATCGACTCGAGCGGAGCGCCTTCAAAAGCGGTTCCGCTGCGGCTCAGTCAAGAACACCAGCATCCTGTTTGCGAATCGTGAGCGTACACCGTTATCAGCCAATCGCCAATCGCCAATCCGCCGGCCGGCCAATCAGCTTCACACGTTAGCAGGTACACACCGCGGCGGACTCGCTCGGTCTCATCCCCGACCGTCCCTGGAGACGACCCACACGCCATCGGCAAACAATCGAGCCACTCCGTCGACGCCCGGGCGAATTAGCCCAGACGGGACGGCACAAAGCCGGCGGCCGCGCCGCGGCGCTGCGCCGTCGATGACCCGGGGGCGCCGCGTCCGCCGCGCGGCTGTGACGCCAGCAGACCATCTCCGGCCGCCCACTGGCACGCTCACGCGTCATTGGGAGCAACGGCCGCTTAACGGAGGCGCGTCCAACACGGCGGCCCGGCGAGCTGAGCTGTGGCGCAGATGGTCCGGACTGCCGCCACGCTCAAGTCCCGGCCTTCACGGGTCAACGGCGCTCTCTGGGCGGACCTGGAGCCGCCCGGGCCAGGCTAGGCTTCGTGAATGAGGCACACACGAGCTCTCCGCCCTCGGTGCTCTCTGGGCAGACCTGGAGCCGCCCGAGCCAGGCTAGGCTTCGTGAATGACGCACACACGAGCTCTCCGCCCCCGGTGCTCTCTGGGCGGACCTGGAGCCGCCCGAGCCAGGCTAGGCTCGGTGAATGACGTATACACGAGATCTCCACCCTCGGTGCTCTCTGGGCAGACCTAGAGTCGCCCGAGCCAGGCCAGGCTCGGTGAATGACGCACACACGAGCTCTCCGCCCTCGGTGTTCTCTGCGGACCTGAGCCGCCCCTAGGCTAGTCGGTGAATGACGTATACACGAGATCTCCACCCTCGGTGCTCTCTGGGCAGACCTAGAGTCGCCCGAGCCAGGCCAGGCTCGGTGAATGACGCACACACGAGCTCTCCGCCCTCGGTGTTCTCTGGGCAGGCCTGGAGCCGTCCGAGCCAGGCTAGGCTCGGTGAATGACGTATACACGAGATCTCCACCCTCGGTGCTCTCTGGGCAGACCTAGAGTCGCCCGAGCCAGGCTAGGCTCGGTGAATGACGCACACACAAACTCTCCGCCCTCGGTGCTCTCTGGGCAGACCTGGAGGTGCCCGAGCCAGGCTAGGCTCGGTGAATGGCGCACACACGGGCTCTCTGTACCTCATCAGGTCACGGGGACCTTACGCGCCATGCTAGCGCGAACGTAGCCCGCTGCAACCACGGCGGCAACTTCGCCAGCGGCACGCTCGACACCATGATGTAACCCACCACGGGCTGTCATTGTTATGCTCCGCCCTTACCGTTCGCATTCACTCACCCATCAGCTTCAGAAGTGGTAACAAGAGGCCCAAACATGCCCATAAATGCGAACTCTCAAGCGAAGCTTTTAAAGTTTCCGAATGCATGTATACTACATTCAGAGTGAGACAGACATTTTACGTGATAAAAATGCAAGCTATGGAATATTTTTCTTGTTTTTCTTTACTTGCTATGCACGCTCACATTTGGCTTTACCTTTCAACTGTATGACATAACCGACGAACATCAGTATGGCTCATCACAGTACAACTCAACCATGATCGTAAAGTTTAAAAGATTGGGTACAATCGCTATTAAAATCACTGAGTAGAGAGAACAAAAGACCTTAACTAGATCGTCAGAACTCAGTGCAATACACGTATGAACTTATGGAATATAAACTCAGGATGTCCGCAGTCTTATAAACTATATTGGCCATAAGACAATAACGAGTCGGCACTGAGAAGCTGAACAAACTTAGAGAGCTCATAACATAACCAGATGATGGGACAGTGGTATTAGCCTTATTCTTCGGAAAAAACAGCTTTTTGAAGCTTGCTTGGCTTGCCGTTTTAAAAAAATCAACTGAAAAATCGAGTAGGATCATCAAGGCAATTTTGAATTCACTTCTGCTAATGTTTCGAGAAAGGCACGCTGCCGCAACCTAACTATATCTCTATTCTCCTGGTTTTTCCGAGGAATAAGGCTTATACTACTGTCTTATCTATGTGACTAATGTGACTAATGTTCCTCGCTAATGCACTGAGCAACTTGCATAACCAGATATATTGACCGCAATATCAACCTGAACAAGGGAACAGTAAGCCGTCTCCTACCAAAGTAAGTGAGTGAAGTGCTTAAAGCGCGAGAATGGGCAGATGCTGACCTCCCACAGGACGCGCGATACACACAACGTGCTTAACATCAATGGGAGCAAGATTTGTACGGTCCTCAGCGCGGTTCGCTCAGTTTTGCCCACATGACTTCGGCTGCCACGGATTTAAAACCCCACCGGCTGCACTGCAAAACAATGACCCGCGAATCAAAGCCCACCGACAGTTTGCTCCATATTTACGTTAAGCAAGATAATAACCGTTACGGAAAGTGCCCGGTGTCAATGAAAACCTACCGCAGGTGTATTGGTACTTCTACAGCGCCGATGTATTTCTGTCTTGCCACGGTGCCCGCGTATTCCAGATGGATTTTGGGCTTGGTGTCCCAACTCAATGCTTCTATGAGTCTCTCTCCAACACAACCTTACGTAGACCACAAAATCGATGCCGTTAAAACTCAACCGACGGAGGCTGACCCGGCGGCTACGCAAAAGGCTCCGTGAACTGTTCAGCCCTCGCTTCTCACTTCCCATTTCCCAGTCAACCCACTTACAGTACACAAATAGTTATAAGTGAGCTTAGTTTATCTTATCTGTTTGCTTCATTTTCTTCAAATCTGAAGCATTCCCTTGGAAGGGAATGTTCCGCATTTGAAGAAACTGCAGCAAGCATCAAATAAAATGAACAAAACAACTTATACCTGTTGGCATGCTTCTACGGAAACGGAAAACTCAACCTCTACTAGGATCAGAGTTAAAGCCAACGAGTGCTTGCTGTGACAAAGGCTGACTCCAACATGCCATCATGCAGTCGCGGTTCGACAGCATTTTGTGGCGAAAGTGTACCGTGCCACGGTGCTCGGCAAGGCCGCTCTGCTCCTGTTACGCCTTGATGAGCAGCTACAGCAGTGATGGATACATCCTATAAGCATTGGCACTACAACAGCGCGACAAACGTGACATAAACATGTTTGCGACACGTCGCAAAAACCGCGTCCAGATTCCGCGGCTTCGGCCTTGTTCGCCGCCGTAAACGCCTATGATATACCGCTGTCGATTTATATGATGTGTAGTCACAAGACAAGGACTGAGGCCCATTTTATGCGGTGGCTGAAAACGAAATACAAGTCGGCCACAGCTCCCTAAATATGCTGGCAGCTCCCACAGCCGATTCCACGGCTGGCTTCGCCTCCACGGGCATCATTTAGAACTCTTCTGTAAAGGGTTATACTGCTTACATAGATGACATTACTGGAAGCTGGCAAAGGCCCCTGCTAGTAAAATGCATTATTTGTATCATACATTTAGCGTAGAGCAGGTAGAGAGCTTGGGCGCAACTTTATCCTGGTATTACTCCTAGTTCTGCTCCAGCAGTTCACACTTATCACGGAGCGCCTAGGCATGCATGAGTGGTGGAAAACATGCGAAGCTCTCTTGAGTAATCTTTATGCGGAGGACCACGTTCTCACTCACCCCGGTCAAACACCAACTGGGTATGGTAACAGTGCCGTGGACGAGACTCTTGCCTTGAACGGACAGTGCTGTGTCCCAGTACAGTGCATGAACACTTGCCTTGGACGGACAGCACTGTGCCCCAAACACATCTCCCACACAGCGCTCCTGGAGTCGCCAAGGTATGATATAGGAGTAATCTAAAACCGATGACTGAAAACATTCGTTATGTTTCCGAACCCTCAACATTAGGTCATTCAGCCGCCAAAATCACCGTCGGGGAGATATCGCCCCAGCATGAAGACAGCCCGCAGATTCGGCTCCGCTAAAGCGATCGCCATTTCCGCCACTGAGCCAGCTGGCCGCTGGACCTCCGTCCACCGACCCGCCGCAGTGCCGACCTGAACGCGCCCCTGTCCCAACCCCTGCTCCAGGCTCGACACGCCCGGCCCCAGGTTCGACGCACCCTGCCCCAGCTTCGACGCACCCTGCCCCGGCTTCGACGCGCCCTGCCCCAGCCTCGTCGCGCCCCTGCCCCAGCTTCGACGCACCCTGCCCCAGCTTCGACACGCCCCTGCCCCAGTCTCGTCACGCCCTGCCCCAGCTTTGACACGCCCTACCCCAGTTTCGACGCGCCCTGCCCCAGCTTCGACGCGCCCTGCCCCAGCTTCGACACGCCCTGCCCCAGCTTCGACGCGCCCGCTCCCAGGTCACTCACGGCTACAAGGGCGGAGTAGCTGGGGCACGAGGGCAGCAGCAGCGTGGCGACGCCGCAGCCCAGCATGCACGCCACGTAGAGGGCCGTGCTCGACGCCCACGGCCGGTCCCCGACGTAGCCGATCAGCAGCTGAAACAAGGGTGGCGACGTAGCCGATCAGCAGATGAACACGGGCGGCGACGTGAACGATCAGCAGCTGAACACGGGTGGCGACGTAGCCGATCAGCGGCTGAACACGGGCGGCGACGTAGCCGGTAGGCAGCTAAAACACGGGTGGCGAGGTAGCAGATCAGCAGCTGAACAGGGGCGGCGACGAAGCCGGTAGGCAGCTGAAACACGGGCGGCAACGTACCCGATGAGCAGCTGAAACACAGGCGGCGACGAAGTCGATCAGCACCTACACACGGGCGGCGATATAGCCGATCAGTAGCTGAAACACGGGCGGCAACGCAGCCGATCAGCAGCTGAAACAAGGACGGAAACGTAGCCGGTAGGCGGCTGAAACACAGGCAGCGACGTAGCCGATCAGCAGCTAAAACACGGGCGGCGACGTAGCCCATCAGCAGCTGAAACAAGGGCGGCGAGGCAGTCGGTGACCGAAATAGGGACAGAGGCTCAACCGGTGACAGGCATGCAATCGGCGGCTGAACCAGGGACGGTGACGCTGCAGGAACCGAACAAAGTAAGGAGACACGGCCCTGGCTGCTGGCAAACATTCCAAACATTCCTGCATGAGGCGTGATTTCGACGAGCGCAGTACTGCTGCTGTGGGAACCACAGCCAGCACGGCCACAGGCTCATTAGACACACCGTCGCAACGAGACAGCAAACATAACCGATTAGCTGATCCGTCGCACTCCGTATTTTCCCGGTCATCTATCAGCCATGCAATACGCGATCGTCGCATCTTGTAAGCGATAGGTCAGCCAGGCACAGCCATCAATTCGGTCACGGTAAACGTAGCAATGTCAGGAATGGTATATACCGGGTCATATTGACGCGAGTGATCACAAGTCAGCAAGCACGCTCGTCTGAAAGGACACAGGCAGGGAATACGTCTAAAACTGTGTTACTTATAGGCTGGAGTGCACGTTACCCATAATTCATTGCATGTAATGATAATGCATAGCATGCTTTTCTGTACCTGATAACCTGGTGGGCTTCTGTGCAGAAATAAAATCTGTAAACGACACCTTATACACCTTTGGAGACGCCATTGCCTGTCGGACGCTTAAGGGGGTGTTCCACATTTATGTGGGGTTTTGAACTGAGATAACAGTCTTGAAGACCTTTCGATAATGTTCAAAATCCTACCCGTCTTAAGACTCGAGCCCCTTTAGTTTCTGAGCTACACGCCCGCGAAAATGGGAAAAGGTATTCAGGGAGAGTATTGCAGAGTCACCTTGTATGAACATGAATGACGTCACAACGTCATTGAAACGCCATGTTGTGCAAGGTACGTTCGCGTCATCAAACCGTGACGCATTGCAGGGCATTACTAAACAGAGCAAGTGTGCTGTCTCGAACAAAATTTTCCACTCACTTGTCTTATCATATCTGATGTTTGGTTCAACATCCTCAAATGGATGTTTGGTTCAACATCCTCATTCCCTTTAATGCGGCCGCTCAACCTTTTGCTCAAGTCAGTTCCACTAACACAATCTGCCCAGAACATCCGAATACGTGCTAGCCTTCTGCCTTAAAATGTCACTGCCATACACCACCTTTCCCGCTGCTCCGAGCCCCACACTGCACTTCCAGTGAGTTATTTGTCTTCGGTCGCTGTCGCATTCCGGATAAGAGGTTCGGACACTAATGGACCTTGTCTCCCGCGGCAGTATGCAGCGTCACAACATGTTTCCAGCGCGCATTTCACGTCGGCAAGCGCGGTGTCCGATCGCCAGCACGTGATCGCAGTGCCCCCAGGTGCAGTAGCAGCCAGCAGTGGCGGATGCAGGAGGTCACAGAGGTCGGTCGGGCCGCCAAACTGCATCAGCTACAAGCGTTTCAAGTCCCGTAACCACGTGAACGTCACTGCTTTGTGGGCTACTGACGTGACGTGACGTGACGTGACGTGACGTGTCCGTGACGGCTGACTACGCACCTGCCCGTGATTCAGGTGTCGACTGCACTGCTGCCCCTGCTTGGCCTGGTGACCGCACCGCAGGGCCTGTTTCAGGTGCCGGCTGCACCTCTGCACCCGTTTCGCGCGCTGACTGCACCGCTGCTCCTGCTTGGCTTTGTGACAATGCCGCGGTGTCTGTTTCAGGTGCCGACTGCACCTCGGCCCCTGTTAGAGGTGCTGACTGCACCGCCGTCCCTGCCCGGCCTTGCGCGAACACTGCAGTGTGTGTTTCAGTCCTGACTGCACCTCGGCTTCTGTTTCAGCTCAGGACCATGAGCGCCGTGTCGAGGCCGGCACCACAGCCGAGTGCTGGTGGAGCCCAGTGTGCCCCCCCCCCCCCCCCCACACCATCCGCGTGACTCAAAGCCGGGCAGTTGGGAACCACCTCCTCACGGGTCACCACCGCCGGAAACTCGCAGGCCGAAGAGGCGCGCGGAGTTCGCACGCTATCATACCGTGAGGTGGCGCATTCGTGTAATCACCGCATCCTGCACAAACATCAAGCGCTCGTCAAGGGTCACGCAAACTGGAAGGAACATCAAAATGATTTAACCCCTACTTACATCGCTGAGTGCGCCGCTGTTGAGGGCATTAGCGGCCCAATCGGCTTACGGTGCAGCGTTCCAGGCCAGCGCATTAGCTGAGCCACGAGAAAGCAGCTGATCCCACGGGCACCGCCCCCCGCTAATGCGGCGTGCGCCGGTCCGGGGGCGTACGAGCGCCGTGCCCTGCAGCAACCAGCCACCACGCAGCGCTTCAGCCAGTCCGATCAGCCCACAGTCATGATCCGCAATCCTCGAGAAAGTCGCCAGCGAGGGTGTGCGTGTCCAGACGCCATTGATTGCGTCGGCCTGTCAGCTCAGGTGGGCCCGGCGGCGCCATGGATCCGCCGCTGAGAAGCTGCCCGCGATGGCGCACCACCAGAAATCTCCCTTGTGCGGCGTCGGCAATATCGGCAGCGCTCGATCGCGGGAAAGAAGCCCCCGTCGGTAGCCGGCGTCTCCGGAGAATACGAACACACCGGATACATGTTAACTGTAGCCTGCACGGCTGTGTGTATACCAGGGACGCAGGTGGAGCCAGGAGCTGCTCCCGCAAACGCCATCCTCGTGACATGTTACATATATCGGCACGTTTCAGGCTTATTATGAATATGCATTCATGGTTAGACTCATTTTTCACACGGAGGACAGCGAACATCGTCACATGGCTTTTGTGGAACACCAGTGACTGCGGTGCATGCAATAGAGCTCAGCGCGCACCAGGGTTCGATCGTTGTCCCCAGCCCTTTCGTGTCAGCTCCCATGGTCCTTTAAACTAGACCACCACGGCTTCTATGCTTTAATTGCCTGAATTCATAAGCCTTGATGCAAGCACCTGGCATGACAATACTTTATAGTACATTTTACCGTAATATATATATATATATATATATATATATATATATATATATATATATATATATATTCGTGTACTTATGCAGTGTGCTCCCATTTATGCAATATTTGTTATACGCAAGGGCAAATGTACATTTACTAAGTTTCTTGCGCGTTTGTTCGATTGCTCGAAATAAATCCTTCGTTGTTTTCGGCAAGTCATAAATCAACACGCCTTTAGTCATACATATTTGTTTACACTAGCCAACTTCTCGCGGACATTCATTCCCCATTCTCAAGGCAATGTAAGACGGTCGGACGGAAAACATTCGAATCAAGCCCCCGCATAACTGCATTCTGGGCAGTGATGTAGTGACGTCATCATGGGACTACGTCAAATGGCACCAACGCTACGTTGGCGTGAAAATGCTGTTTTTTCCTGGCTGGTTTAAACAAAGATATCTTCACAAACCAATTCGTTTCGACCTAGCACATTCAATGAAGCATTTGAAGCATTTGAAGGGAAAGGACGTTGGTTTGCACCAGAGCTACAAAATTATTGCTGAAATGCACTACCAGCCTGCTCTCGACAGAGAGCTAGGGTAACCCATCTACCATTGATTTATTCTAAAGAATCCTAGCCGGAAGTGCTTAGAAACAGTGTGCATAAAAGAGCACAGATACAACAACAATATAGGGTGGGAATGGGAAACGGCGGACCAGACGGGCTCGCAGCACCCTAGGACGCGCACTGAGAAGTTGGAATGGGCATCCTCTAGCCTTGGGGGAAGCGTTGTCAGGGTGGGTGCAGGATTGACCTGCTCTAATGGGGGTAGTGAGTGAAGAACCACGAGAGGCTTAAAGTTAGCGCGCGTCATTTCAGTTCAAGATAGCGGATTTTCCTGTGAAATGGGCCGATTTCTGGCATGTTTCGCGATTCCTGCCAGCCAAAGAGACGTGGCCCGTATCTCAGCTCAGAAATAGTCTTAGGGATGTATTACGGTGGTCGGGACATTATTCTCTGCACACCACTTTTATCTCACTCATCCACCATTATGGATCTGCAAGTTAGCCAACACCTAGGAACAACAAAGCACGGCAACAGCGCAATTCTGGACGCCTGCGCTCCTCACATCACCTTGTTTTCACAATTCACTCCATTTACGTACTGCAGTACGGAGATACATAGCAATCATTGCCCATAAATGAATTAAACGTAAACATTTCATATGATACATTTATTTACATCCAAATATTCCTTTTATAAGAACGAACTGCACATCAATATTCAGACGCGCTGACCACGACGAACATGGCGCGGCGGCTGGAGCTAGAAAACGTACTTTAGTAGGATTTATTTTTAGAAGCAGATCCTAGTACTGAGTCTGCGCAGCCTTTTGCTCTAGTAGCCTTGATTCTAACATAGCAAAATATGAGGCACGCTCTACGAAACATACTTATTGGTGAACCATCAGTAACAGATTATACATACGAATATCTAGTCAAATTGCAACGCACACAAACACACGCATATCACTTTTCCAGCCAGTTTAACACCATGGAGAGATAAAGCCATGGAATCACTCTGCTGCCATTGAGTAACTGAACAGGTCCAAAGTAATACATGACTTAAGTTGTTTGTTTCAGTCAGGCGTTCTTTCTCCGATGAGGATGACTTCGAGAACTTGTAGACGGCGTTTATAAGGACACAATTTTAGAATCAGCCTGTTTCCAGTCAGGTCAGAGCGCAGGAGGTTTTGGTTCTGGGTTTTGGGTGTATGTTGGCCTTGAGCTTCCTTCCGCAGGTGCATGGTCATGCCTCATGATATATATATATATATATATATATATATATATATATATATACGTATATATATATATATATCCTAGAATTCA